TCACGTAATCGCGGAATGGGCTATGAAAAAAGTCCGTGGTTGCCCCGCTGCATGCCCCACGCGCCCATGGTGTTGTCTGCCGTCAATCGCTTGTCAACCCCCGGTTCTCGTGATACAGTGACACGGTATAAGCCGGCCTGCCTTATGTGCCTCGCCACAATAATTTGGAAAACTGCCAGAATTTAACCTGCCTTTTTTTAAGGTTAGCCTCTGTGTCTGTATATAGACCTAAAGGCCGTTGGTATTGGTATGGTATGAAAATTCAGATTTCAAATCAAAATCCCCGCAATGTATATCGAATTCCTTTACGACAATAATGCGGTTTCTTGTAAGCATAAAACCGCTTGTAACATAATGCCTGTATCACTTGGACGATTAAAAAAAATGCACAGAAAACTTGCTTCAGTTTTCGCAGCAACAATTTCGAAGCAACATAATGGAAAATAAAATAGGCCTACATCTGAAAATGTGCGACTGTCGTTAATCTCAGAGTTTTGACATAATCTATACGAATCAAGAGGACAAGATGTTTATATTCATCATGTGTAAAACGAAAGAATAAGATAACGAATATTAAAAAAAATAAAACGATTTCCTTTTCATGCTGGCAATGACAATAATATCTATGTTTGCCTGACTCGAAAATGGGTTTGACGCAGACTTGAACCTGAGTTAAGGTTGAAAACATATCCCGATTAAAGATATCATAAAAAAAACAATAGAAGAAGTAGATATTTAAAAATAATGCCCACAATGTGTAGGTAATTTTGGGAGACAGTAAAGTACACGACCTTTCCATATGTCATCATGAACTGAATTTAAAACCATGAGTGCTCAATCCCTTTCATGATAAAACTATCCACTATAGCCTCAAACTTAAAGGGTTGTATTTCGAACGTCTTGCACTGACTCGCTAGTGTCGTTCAAAGCATAGCTGTACAGGGTGAGTGAAAAAACACAGAAACCCAAATGGCAAGACCAATTTTTTGAATGAAGTTTTGCCTGTAGCAATTTCAATATATCTGGGATATGAAAGCCCAGTCATTAGGCTTTCTTTTAGTACAAGAATCATTCGAATCACTCATTTGCTGTTCAAGTTTTTAAGTTCTGTCCACGGATCACAAAAAAGGTAAGTGCTTTTTTTTAGCAAAATGAAAACAATTCAGATTTCAGGGATGTACGTGAATTGTTTTCGTTTTGCTGAAAGAACACTTACTTTTTTTGTGATCCGTGGACAGAACTTTAAAACGGTGTTTGTGCTCAAAATTCCGTAACTTGAAAAGTACATGACTGATTTGAATGATTATTGTACTAAAAGAAAGCTCGTTGATTGGGCTTTCATATCCTAGATTTTGAAAGTGCTACAGGCAAAACCTCATTCCAAAATTGGTCCTTCCATTCGGGTTTCGGGTTTTTTTTTACTCACCTTGTATGTTCAAAACATGCATGCAACGCCCGTGCATTAGATCAACCACAGAGCAAGGACCCAGCTCTATATGGAACAACCCACTTGGTTTGGCAAAAAAAAAAATCCAAGTTCTCACCACACTTTAAACGAAAATAACAACATTTCCATTCTATTTAGTGTCTGCTATACGCAAGTATTATGACCTACGTGTCTTGCATTAAGTTCGTGACTTCCATAGATTTAGATCGAATTTTGTTTTGACTGGAATTTCGTTGTTTTTCGGTAACTGCAGCGCGTCGTTTCTTGAACTGTATAACCTTTGACTTGTGCGCGACACTCCCTTCTTCATGTACGCCATTGCTGTATGTGCAATATGCGGGCAAAACAAACTACCTGTACAACCTACGCCATGTTGTCACCCACAAGAAAACCACAATATTTTGACTCTGGAAAATTGACAAATGCCTCTTGGAGAACAACCCCTTGGCCAAAAAATATGTGTAGCAAACAGCGCGAGAAAATAAAGATCTTATTAAGTTCTGTATATGGAAAAAAAGAAATGGTTTGGATGTGAGTCATCGGAAAAGAGATCGTGGCGTGCATGTGCGCATACATGCAGTCGACCACAACCACAACTTGGCCGCCATCTTGTTTTGAGTGCTCGAAATATTACAAGAAAACCACGCGCGTGCATTATGGCAAATATCTCAACAACTTCATTTCCACGAATCAAGGGCATTTATAATTTTGATTCAAGCATTCTTTCGACTGGAGCATGTTCAGTTTCTAGATGTTGATAACATTTTGAGGGCGTTGGTCATGAAAGATAGCGATGTATATGAGAGAGTGGGATTTAGTAGTCAAAGATGTTTTCTTTATATTAGGTTCTACGTATACAATGTTTCATATTGAACAGACGACCGCCATTAAAGAATTCCTTGTTGTAAGATATGGTATTTCACATTTTTACGTCATCCATTGTTCAGTATACCAAAAAGAAGGAAAAGAAGTCCGATAACTACGATTACCATTTTCGAAATTGATTCAGGCAAGTACTGCCGCCTTTCAAAGCTTTAATATACTTAATCGTGCCTTTCCATCATTTTCGTTTGCCTTAAACTATATCTGATAATAATACGCATCATGTAGGCTTTATCGTCGTCATTCATGGTGAACTTCTCGCAGCGTTTTTCATATTGAATCTTGAAGCCCATTCAAATTAAATTTGGAGCCGATGAGCTGTGTCGGGACAAAATTTAAAAACATCGCTAATTCTGTCGCCGCCTTTTTGTACAATCCAAAGATAACCCCATCCTGATCTCACGATATAATACAATGAAGATGAAATCGCATTTATAATCAGGGTTCTTTACATGTTTTATTTTTGTATTTCAACCGTCTTATCACATAAAGGAATTGCAAAGTTAAACGCAACCAACGTTAGCCAAAAAAAATCAAAATGTAAATTGACAGATTCACCCTTACCACGCTTCAAAGCCCGTGCCAAACTCGCCATGACGAAAAGGCAATTATTTCTGAAGATATATAGTCCTCCACTTTTTTTAGTTCCCAATTCCATCACAACAGAGACCAGTCCCGTCAATATTTTTAACTCCGGCACAAATTCATCCCAAGTCGTTGTCTGCTTTACTGGCTTTTCGCGGTGGAGCCGGGCAGACACCGCAGCCCAGCGGTTGCAACACCGCAGGTTCTTTGCCCGCCGACAACCTCGGCAGTCCGCTCAATCGACTGATTAACCGGCCGGCCGGCCTCGGCGTTGCAAACCGCAGAAACTTGGCGAATCTACTGGCTTTTTTGGTCAGGTGGGGAACAAGTAGCAGTTGTTTTTGAAATTGGTGATTGAGGTTTTCCGTATAGGCCTATAGATAAACTTTCTTGGGTACGTGGGTACGGGCTCGCGGTAAGGCGATAGACGACTTCATAAGATGAATTTTTAGGATGTTTAGATTTTTAGTAATGAATTCTGTTTTTATCGGCGTTAAAAAGTCAGTTCTTGAATCAGTTTTTCTCTAAACATTTTTCTCCACAAGGACGGACGGTAAGTTGACGAAAATATTTCGATGTTTGAACCTAACTGTCTTTCCGACAAATTTCAGTATGTGGTTTTAAAAATTGTTGCATATTTTCAGTCCATTTCGGACGCTAGAAAACTACAAGCAATTTGTTTCTGATACAGCGATTGCAGTAAACATCACGGTATACTCAAATGTATAAATTAATGTTAGTGAAATTTGTTTTTTACAGCTGTCGCGAATTTGATGAACAAAAATATCTTCCTATCTTTATTTGAATCGTATTTGGTGAACAAAAAAAAATCGATTGAAAAACAGGTGCTTCACGAGCCCACGATATTTGTGTGGGCATTGTTAGATTCGGATAATTGGTAAAATGCAAATTTTCCTCGAATTGGTGCAAGCCTTCTCTGGTGTCCGCGGGCAAGCCACCCGCCTGATATTTACCGTGTGCGCCCGCTTCAGTCGGGGGCGGCATTGTGCACTTTGCACGGTATCACCCACGGTCCGTCTGCGGTGAATCATGGACCAGAGACTTTATTTTCGATGATAGCGAACACAGCGCAAAGTGGTCATGCTAATACCGCATGTCGAAAGGGAGAATATGGTTGTAGTATAGTGTTCAAGTAGTGGGTTTCCCTGAAAGTTATCGAAGACTGGCGTTCCAGAATCGCGCCGAACCAAATTGTACATGAGACTATACCACACCTGAACAGTTAAAAATGACTTCGTCGAAAGACTGACCCTTTCAGTCGTTCGAAAGACCGAAGAAGACGTTCTTGTCAACGGGAAAGTATAGTGCACAAGGTTTGCCTGTTTGAAATAAAATTGTATCTTGGTCAACTTCAGTCTCTCCGAATACTTTTCGATTAGGCAAGACTCTGGAATGCCTTATAACTTTGTTTGGTTAACGGTAAATGACAATTATCCGTTTTCACAAGAAGTTATATTTTTTGTAATTTACACGAAGTTTATTTTGAAACCATGTCGTTAAGTAACATTTTATGCTCACGTTTGACGATAACTTGTATGGAATTTAATGTCAGAGATACCTCAAATGTTTCTTCAAACACAGCTTTGGTCAGAAAATCGGCAGCAGAGACAAAACCAACTTATAGCTTTACTTAAAAATTCATCGTGTTTGCAGTTATGCCAAACACTGGAAGATTTGTCATCTTTTTTAATGCTCTGATCGTAAAAGAATCGGTCCAACTATTCACACAACCAAAATCGCTGTCATTTGTTTGCATTGATCGAATTTTTCCGTCAATTTGTCGGGAAAATCGCTCCGCCAATTGTTTGGCCAGCGAGTTTGTTCCTTTATGCGGGTACACGCCCCAAACGACGGGCATTATATCGTTAAATACTTGCGCAGTGTGCTGATGGTGGACATTTTCAGTACACTGATCTTTCGTCGTTTGTGCTCCCACATCATAGCGGACGTGTAACGCCAAAATATCAAAAGCATGTTAGATTGATATTCAGTTTTAATTTTTTAAAATATTGTTAATTGGTTTTACCAATGTCTATAAGAGTTGGTTTCGTTTGTTTCTTTTCAGGTTCATCTGAAAACGAGGTTTATCCTGAACGGCGTGTGCGTGGTATGTAAAGCATGGGTGGATCTGCAGAGATTGGACGGTATAGGCTATGTGGAGTTTGACGAGGACAAGGCCAGGGTAAGCAATTCATTCTGTTCTTGAAGACTTTTTTCAAAAACAATATAAGCAATATATGAAAATAATATAAGTATAAAATGATTGCATATATAGACTGGTTGGCATCTGAGTATACATTTTTCGAAATTTCGAATCAGACGTTTTCGAATTCTACATCCTGATTTCTACATCCTGATCAGTAAATGAAAATGAAGGGCTTGCATTAAAAATCTTCTTTAAGAATTGATTTATTTATTAAAGACCAGTTGCAAAAAGACTCATGATTTCGTATATGCAGGTCACCTTTTGACGCCAAAGAAATAAGTTTTCATTTGAATGTGGAAATTAATCTCGATTTTATAGGTTTTGATATTTGTTCCAACTCCGATTTCGTCGATTCTGCTACGTGAAAAATAATAGGTAATGGAAATGACTAAACGCATATATTATAATTTGCTTTTTCTTTTATTTTTTTATGTTTCCAATACTAACACCACTCAAAATCTAAAGAAGAATGTTCAAAACCTAACCTGTTAAAGTTTCAACTCAGTGGATGTAACCTTTTTTTTCACGAAAACAGTGGAAAACCATACACAACCTTTTTATCACGAAGCAAGATTTCGTCTACCCTTTTATTTCCAACGATCAGTGTCAGATCCTTCGAAATCACCTACATGTTCTTGATCTCTTCTACATGACAGCAGGCCAGACGGAATAATTTCATAGGCTGTTTTAGTTCCAGTAAACGATCTTAAACCAAATGAAGTGTTTGATGATTTTTGCTAGGTAACTTTTGGGATAAATGCAAAATGATCCTACATGCCTTGAATTGTAAAAAGAAAACAAAGCACACTCATCACCCTTAGGAATTTACTAGCTTGAGTAACTCCAGCTTAACAAGCTCATCAAGAATTTACACGAATTCCTGATGAGCTTGTTAAGCTGGAGTTACTCAAGCTAGGAATTTACGATTTAAATATGGCAAGCACAAATCACTGTCAGCAACTTTTCCATTTATCATTATTACAGGTAGAGGACTCCGTCTTAAGGCAGTCCATGGCTCAGCAAAACAGGAGACTACGGGACTTCGAGGAGAGACAGAGGATACAGCGAGAGGAGATTGAGCGACAGGCAGAGGCTGAAGTAGAGGTAGGAATTCACGAAAATCTTAAAGTCTGAAGAAGAAAAATCGATAGAAAAAGCATCCTCTTCCAATGCCGCTGGCAATTTACAGACAGTTTTCCGGTGAATTTCGAAGAAGAAAATGATAGACACGTTTGAATTCCCTGTAATTTAATACCCTTGTAAGGATTTTGTTTTACATTTTTTATCCTGTGGTTCCTTCCTTCATCTTCGGTACGTTTTGGTTGCCTCCTTGTTCCCTTTAAAAATTGCCGCGTATAAGTAGACCTTTTTTTTGTTTCCGGCCACGGAGATGACTTGATTCCAGCCGTTTTTTACCGGTTCTGACCGTGTTGGTTTCTTCAGAAGAAAACCTTTTCACTTTTGCTCTTGAAACGTCAATTCCTTCATTCACGGCTGAAGCTTTTATTAAACTAAAAGTCCCTTGTGTGACAGTTTGTTAACCTTATAAGAGCCTTGGTGTGGATAGATAACTGCGATTTGAGAGAACTATATAATTTACAATTTTCATTTCATTCTAGCCTCTTTATTTGAGAATTATTGTGGTTTCTTTCTAGATTTGACTGTCTCGCAGCTCGTTTAAATCTTATCAAAATAATAGGTTTCAAATCAATCAATGTTGTCATCCGTATAATATGCATTCATCTTTACTGTAAAATCAAAACAAAATGTTCTGATTAGGCTACACTCTCGAAATGTTGTTAATGGCTAAAACCTTTAATTTAGGCTTCAAAGCATCGGACATCTTCCAGAATAAGAGTTTGGCTTGATCAGATCACGCAAGGAATGGTTTATTTGTTGGATCTGGTGCGCATGCATGGCTATACGGTGACTGCTCTATGTTCCGACACCCATGTTCCGACAACCCGCACATAAGATTGTGTCACTCCCGGTTAGGGTTAGGGATAGGAATATGTGCAGTCAGAACATAGGGGTGTCGGAAAATAGAGGTGTAACCGGCTATACCACATTGAAAATCTTTAACAGACGTCTCGACTTCACGGTTTGAAAAGTTCCTCCAATGAAACGAACTTTCGGATCTGCAAAAGTGATGCATATACACGGTGTTATGAAGTTTATGAGGATGAAGGGAATACTGCATCTTTCCGTTCCTGCCTGTAACTGGATGGAAAGGCCTCTGTCAAAATTATCACTTTTTCCGGCCATAAGACTGAACAGTCATTAAGTATTCCTCAAAGTCCATTCCATTATGTGTAAAAACTCCATCACATAAATTATTCACTTTGTTGACAAAGAGGTCGAAAACAACAAGGCACCTATATTAAAACATAACCCGATAGGAAATCCCGCATACTTTCTCGATCGACTGAACAACAATTCTCTGTTGTGCCATCACTCAACCGCCAGTAAAGGCCTACCCGCAAACCGGTAACTCTTGGCGGGCAAATCGCTCCAGCCGCCGGCAGGTTGCTTGCCAGGTTCACGCTGGTCATTCGGGGACTTCTGCGGACTTCTGCGGTCTGTCGGTATAGGGGAAATGGTACTACCATACTCAACCTCAAGCAATTTTTTAGTCACGTATGTCTTTTTTCGCCAGTTTGGAAGAAGGACATGCATTAGGTATTATTTATTTGGGTGTTACATTTTATTGAAATGCACGACCGTGAATTTATTTATTTCGAAAATGTATCGAGCTTTTTCTGTTGCTATTTGGAGATATCACGGGAGGTGATGGGACACACCCCTTCATTATTGTGTCCCCGGGTTCGTTGCGGGTGCGATTTCGTTTACTGCACCGTTTCTGTGATGGCAACTACCAATATCAACATACTTATTTGTAAAAGAGAGACCTGTTTTGATTATCAAAGGAAGTGGTTTTGAGATAAGAGGCTTGAAAAATAAGGTACACCGTTATGCAGGCACAGAGACATTAGCCTTAAGGAATAGACAAAACAGCAATCATGGTCTGCAAATGCAATTGTCGAAGGTCGTGATAGTCACCCCAACTTTATGTTAAAGTTACCGTGCATTATAGGCCGGTTTAATAATAATGTGTGACAGTCTTTCTGTACTACACTTTTCAATTAAAAATACTCATTTTTTTCTGTACTATACGGTATACTCTCCTTTCTAAAGCCTAAAGGGTGAATTCTGTCTTTTTGAATGAAAATTCACTCCAGCCGACTACAACGAATTTTACTCGAATTTCGAATGAAGTGATTCTTCTTTAAGTCATTTCAATCTATATGATTTTCGCTCTAAATCGCGGTGCCGAATTTAGGGTAACATTTCAGTTTTCGCAGTTTTACCGACCATAATGTGGAGGCTATTTTGTTACGTTTTTCTAAGACTTGATTTTCGAATGCTTTTGGATTTTTTTTACCAAATCAGGAAATTTCTTTACTCTCGATTGATAAAAAAAAGGCAACTCTTTTTGAATGTTTTGGTCCCGCTGTGATAACTGCGATTCGCACATTGTGGATAGAAAACTAGAACTGAGCAAAAAGTGAGCAAAACATCATGTTATTTTGACAGGATAATGGCTTCCTTTTCGTTTGTTTTGACCGACAAAGATTGTCTGCAGACGTACATATTTTTCAGACGTTCTTATGAATTCATGTTGATCATGTGCCTCGCAGATGTTACAGGATTCGCTTGTCATGTGTTTTGTTCGTTTCCAATGATAACACCACTCAAAATCCCAAGAAGTACATGTATATGTTCAAAACCTAACCTGGTGAACTTGTTAACTCAGTGGATGTTACGCTTTTCGAGAAAGGAGTGAAAAACCTTGCACATCTTTGTCATCACGAAATACGATTTCGTTTATAGAACTCTTTATTTCCAAGGATCAGTCAATTGACTGATCGTTAGAAATCACCTACATTTCTTGAAATGACATGTCAGCAAGCCAGACGGAATAATTTCACGGGGTGTTTTAGTACCAAAACGATCTTTAAAAGTTTTATCCAAATAACATGTTTGATAATAATTCGCTAGGTTACTTTTCGAACTAGAAAGCACCCAGAGAGCGCAAACCTCCACCAAGGCTAAACAATCCCCCTCCCCATATTGGCTGTACACCCAGAAGAACTACTCACATAAATGGTGAAGAATCCTTTAAAAAAAATCCTGGATCCAGACCCAGATCCGGATCACTTCCAAAATCTAATCGATTTGTTCTTGTACCAAGGACCACCCCTAAAACAAGATTTTCATGCAAATCCATCCATACATTTTTGAGTTATCTTGTTAACAGACAAACCAACCAACAAACAAACTAACCAAATCCGATGAAATCATAACCTCCTTGACGGAGGTCATAAATACAAATACCTTTAACGATTGTCTAAATGTTGACCACCGATCCGTTTTCTTTATAAGAATCAGTCGAAATTCTGAAACTGAACTTATCGATTTTTCATTTTGATTTCCTAAACTATTTTGTCAATGTTCTGCTCTCTTTCTGCCCATTTTCATTTCACTGTAGAGAAACGAAAGCAAAGCCTGAAGCTACCACACACAGTGCATGGGCAGAAGGAAGAGCAGAATGCGATGAGAAGAGGAAATCTTAGAAATAAAACTTGCCACACCCCTCTGAGGAAAGAAAGGCACCGAATCCCGAAATTATCCCAAATATCCGTGTTGTGGACCCGGGTCCAACTCGGAGATTTCAGCTTTACCCCTTTCACGCTACAGCGCGTCCCAAAATATCCGCACCATTTTTTGCGAGGCTCTAGCGTCGCCGCGGAAACACGTACCGCCGTTATGTTTACATCATTTGAAAGCTTGGAATCTTAACTTTATCCCTGGTAAGTATTGGTGTGATTTTCGAAAGGGTTTTGAAATAATTTGTGTTCAAGTAAAGGGATGTCAAAAACAAACTCAACCGATTTCAAGGAAATTCAACCATGCGCATTTTGTTCTATAAATGTTGAAATGCTTCATCATGTTCATGATGTGACGATCTCGTTGTCTTTTACTTTCTGTGTTTCCTTTTCTTTTCGATCCACGTAGACTACACATTAATTAAATTCACAATATTGTTCTTCGTTTCAATTTCAATGTGTTTTCATATAAACATACATGCAAGTGTGTACATTATACAAAAAGCGCACTCAAAGTGTGACTGAGTTTGCATCTGATTTACTGCATCATCGATTTACCTTAAAATCGGTTGAGGTTGTTTTCGGCATGCCTTTATTTGAACACGGATAATTTTAAAACTCTTTTAAATATCGAGCCAATACTCGCCAGGGATAAAGTTACGATTCCAAGCTTTCAAATGGTCTAAAAATAACGGCGGTACGTGTTTCCGCGCCGACGCTAGAACCTCGCAAAAAAACCAAAAAAATAAACAGTTGCAGGTATTTTGGGACGCGCTGTATAGCAAGAATCCGACACGGCTTTTACCCGGACCCAGCGCTCTATACACGGGTAAAATCACACCCTGGTCGGGGCCAGGGTCGAGCGCTCTACCCGGGCGTTCGTTGGGATCCGGCTTCGCTCATTGTGGACCGTGTTGTTTTCAGCCCGTGGTAGCTGGGGCGATAGTGGGAAAAGGCCTTGTGTTTCACCCAATTATTCGTCATATTTGGTTGGTTTACTTTAACGTTATAATCAAGAAGTGTGTGTGTGTACTTAAGTCTAAGAGAATTCATTACGAATTCGCTCACATTTTCGAGGCGATGCCTGGGCCCCTTTCATGTGACTTTGAAAAGTGTTTTGCATAGTTGTACCAAATGATTGTTAAATTGAACATGTCACAAGGGCTGTTTATCGGAACAAAATATACGGAGACGTAAGATGTTTGAAATCGAACCAAAGATTTATTGAATATATATGTTAAAATAGTTCGTAAAAAAGTGGAGGGTATTAATTCAGAACCTATAAACCTTGTGAAAATGCCCTTTTGACTTAGAATCGAAGTCCGAGTAAAAAAAAAAAAATCGAGAATTTTTTTGTCCGAGACATTTTGGTGCGTTACAGTCATAGGCACGAAAGGAAATGCCGTCAAAGCCATGTGAAACTGACTGATAGGTCAT